TTAAGGAGCGCACTTGTCATGATGAGCACCGAGTGATGTCTGGAACTGTCGAATCACTATATTGCACACCTGAAACTAATACAACACTGTACATTAACTAACTGGGATTAAAAACTTTTTAAAAAAGGATATTATGGCAGTATTCCATTTTCTCCTTTCTACCTTGTTACTGTTGCCACAAACCAACAGCTGTGACGTTGAGCTCAGCCAATCTACCTCTCTGGGCCCAATTTTTCCTAGAACAAAATTGGGAACACCTATGCCACAGACATCCTGTGAGAATTAAAACAATAGAAGCCAAGAGCTTAGCCCGGTACCCATCCGCTACATGGGCTAACATTTCGCTAAGTTATTATGATACCTGTTGAATGAAGACTTTAACTGATTTGAGGGCTGCCTGGGTGGCGCAGTCGGTTAAGCGTCCGACTTCAACCAGGTCACGATCTCACGGTCCGTGAGTTCGAGCCCCGCGTCGGGCTCTGGGCTGATGGCTCAGAGCCTGGAGCCTGTTTCCGATTCTGTGTCTCCCTCTCTCTCTGCCCCCTCGCCCGTTCATGCTCTGTCTCTCTCTGTCCCAAAAATAAATAAACGTTGAAAAAAAAAAAAATTAAAAGACTTTAACTGATTTGAAATCAAGGAACAGAAGGACATACCTGAACAGAAACCTAAGCAACCTACGTGCACACAGGGTGAAGCGTCGGACAAACACCTCTCCTACAGCTCTCCGCCTCCAAAAGGCCAACGAGACTGCACCCTACCGGACTGGCTGGCCAACTCTGATTCGGAAGAGAATTTCAAGAATCTTTTAGCCTCTGATATATAATCCCTTTTATTTACCTACATTTAATTGAAGACATCTGTAGGTGGTGCCACACAAAACGTAATTCAGACTCAGAAATGTCAATAAAAATGTCTGTGAGGGAGAGGTCCGATGTAAACCTAGCAGGGGAGCGCACATCAGCAGCCACAGAGCCACATGAAATTAGAAATATAATGGAAATATGTTGCCTGACTTGACGAGGTGATAAAAGCTCTTTTCCCATAAAGCTTAATGAGCTCTATTAGTTTTCAGCTTACAGGAATGTAAAAGGGTCAGCCCCACAGAGGGAAGTAACTGACTCCCCACACATGGCTCCATTCAAATGACAGCAGATCAAATTACTGATGTAATTACTATAACCTGACAATTTCGTTAGATTCATGTGGCAGTTAACTGTTTAGGACTTACAACAAAGGGACATGGTTCATTCACAGTTCGGTGGACAAAGTGAAGTTTAAAGTCTCCTTCGTTTTCAACTGCAAGTCTCATGTATTTTACAATCTCCACCAGAATTATTTTTCTTTTGATCAAATTACGGAAGGTGTTTGGGTATTTACCGCATGTGTAATTTTCCTTCTTCAGCTAAAACATAAGCCCAATGGCAAAATTAAACATTTAGGACTCCTAACACTCTCCAACTTTGGCTCTCAGGCTCTGTGTAGTGGCAAAGGGAACAGAATCCTGAGCTCAGTGCTGTTGGAAATTTGGGGGTAGCAGCCACTAACTCTGCCTACAGGCAGCCGCCCCGTGAAACTCCAGGCTAGCAAAATTTCAACAGAACGCTCTCCAAGTATTTCCCAAATACTTCAAGAAAAGGAAAGCACATTGGTCATCTCTAATTTTGATTTTTTTTCCCCTTTCCCATGTCCATAAGTTCAGTACAAAAACAGATATTTAACCAAGTAAAACACAACTGTAGATTAAGCGGAAAAAGCAGATCAGTCAGAAAATGACAAAAACCATCACTAAAATTTCATCGTATCTTCCCTTGTTTTTCACCAAAAATTAAAGTTTCCGTACATAGGGATTCCCAATATTTAGCCAGATGTGATTTTAAAAAATATTTGTTCGGTGCAACTCTAGGTGTATGGTTGGAAAACTCTAAACCCTATCCCTAAGAGCATCCAAAGATGGAAAAGACAAAGATCCTGATCTTCAACGGCTACAATCTTGCCAGGAAGACCGTTTACCATATTGAAACACGAATATTAGGCCTCGTGTGTTTTTAGCTGACTCCTGCCAAGTTATGGATAAAAAGCCTGCTGCTTGCGGCCTCAGCCCCGTCTGGCTTATTCATTCATTCGTTCATCCATCCATTCAACAAATATTTATCCACTGCCTCCGATGTACTACTTACTATACTAAAATTAGAAACACAAGGAAGCAAGAAAAACAGGGTCCTCTTTCATCGGGCTTGCATTTGAGAGAAGTCTGTAAGTGAAATCTATTCAGAAGTCTCTTTGCCACTGTTTACTGATATTGCCCCAACGCAGTGGACATCAAGCCCCAGCCTCCTTATTCACTCCGTGTCCGGATCAGTCAGACCATTCTTCCTGGTTACTCCTCAGAAGCTCTTGCTGAAATCAAGAGTCCAGCCTTAAACCTCATTGGCATTCTCCTCACCTGACCTCCTGCAATTTCCTCACCTGCCTCCCCCCCCCCCCCACCGCAAGACTAGACCCTGTTTGCACATCAATCAGAGACTTCCCTGATGTACTTCCCAAACGCTGACTATAAGAGCCACCGCTAAAAACCTACCAAGGTATCTCTTCTCCCCACTGTGGCTTCTTCATGGAAAAGAAAAGGGTAAAACAATGTAACATGTTGTGTATCTCCTTCCTAACTAATTTCTGTATGCTTAAATTATTTTTCAATTGAGATCTGCGTTATAATTTTGCACCCTACCTCTATCTCAACATAGCAAAAGCATCTTACGTAGTTTTGTTCATCAATATGTACTCACCAACACGTATATGCAGGATGCCCATCTTAATGGCTGTAGAATGTTCTATCAATAATATGGCTGCCTGTACCATTATTTACTTGACCTTCTCCTAATGCTCCTCATTTACAAATTTATAAATTTTTCACCATAATGCTGTAATAAACATTTATGCCAGTTTTGTCCCCATCTTTATTTCTCTGGCAGTGATTCTTAGACAAGAATTATTCAAGCACACAACTGCAAGGTATGAATTTATAGGTCTTAACGTAGATGCCCAAACCCATTTCTGTAAATGGTAAGTTTAAAAACATCCCATCTCCCCAAGCATTCATTTAAAAAAAAAAAAAAAAAAAAGATATCTTGATAGGTAAAAAACCATTTATCGCTATTGTTTTAAACTACATTTCTTTGGGGCGCCTGGGTGGCGCAGTCGGTTAAGCGTCCGACTTCAGCCAGGTCACGATCTCGCGGTCCGTGAGTTCGAGCCCCGCGTCGGGCTCTGGGCTGATGGCTCAGAGCCTGGAGCCTGTTTCCGATTCTGTGTCTCCCTCTCTCTCTGCCCCTCCCCCGTTCATGCTCTGTCTCTCTCTGTCCCAAAAATAAATAAACGTTGAAAAAAAAAAATTAAACTACATTTCTTTGATTACTTACAAGGTTAAACTTTTAAAACATTTATTACCATTTGTATTTCACATAAACTATCTCATCAAATCCAACCAAAAATTATGCAAAAAAATAGTACATTAAGTATAACCTTTTTATCACACTTTCCCCAAACTGCCTTTTAACTATACCTGTTTTCATGAAGAAAATTAAGGACTTTTAACAGAAGCAAATCTTATTTTTCTATCCTCTCCTTTGTGATACTTCTCATTCTGCTATGCTTTAAAAATGCCTCATCAACTAAAAAGATTATATAATTTATACTGTCGTCAAGTTTCTTACAGTTTGACTTTTTAATTTTTGCACTAAATTTTACTTAAAATTCTATGTGACAGGCACTGTGCTCAGTGTTTCCCATATGCTATTTCATTTCATTTTAATAACCATGAAGTCTTACCATTTCCACTTTTAGATTAACCAAAAAATGCAATGACTTGCTCATGGGCCAACCATGCCTCCATTACTCCCAAGTAAGAGAAGGGAAAGGCAGAAACAGAGTCTTACTGTGTGGGCTGCAGTACAGCCCAAGAGGAAAATACAAAATATTACTAAGGTTTGAGTAGCACTTTCAAAACCGCTGCCATGTCCACGGCTTCACTGGTGAAGGAGGAATTATCATTTGCATTCACAGATAAGGAAAGCCAGGCTCAGGGAAGTTGCGATTTGCCCAGTGTGGCTAGTGAGGGAAGGCAGGCTCTGAAATCAAGCTTTGGTTCTGAGTGCAAGCATCTCTCCACACTCTCCTCTGCCTTCTCTTTCCTCCTCCTTCCCCGAAGCCTCACCCAACTTCTACAAGTTATCCTACAAGTTATCTGGATAACCGGATATCCGGTTATCCGCATCAACTTACAGTACAGCTGCTGCCCTGAATACCTTTATCTCACAATGTTACCACTGCAGTCTCCGCTCTACACTGCAGAACCTTGATGATGGCTGAATGTGAAAGTGGGTGAAGCAATGAGAGAGGGAGGGGAGGGGCATGAAGGGGAGGGAGGGGAGGGAGAGGAGGTTGGGGAGGGAAGGGAGAAAGAGGGAGAGGGGAGAGAGGGAGGGAGGGAGGGAAAGGGAGAAGGAGGGAGAGGGGAGAGGAGGGAGAAGGGAAAGGGAGACAGAGGGAGAGAACATGCCTGTGTTTAAGAGAAGCTCAGTAAGTCCTTTGCTCTTCCCTTATCAATTTGGGGGTTTGAAATAGCACTCTTAAACCAACAGAAACTTCCCTGACAACGCCCCCTCCACCCATGACCCCTCCAGCTCTCTTTTAATGCCAGCACAGTTAAGACAGAGTAAGGCTAATGTCAGTTACTAAGGAAGCAGATACAATAAGGCTTTTTACAATGAAAGACTGATTTCAGTTTGCTTAAAGAAAGAAAATGTACTTAAAAAGAAGCAACGACCTGTTATAAAGGTGAACAGTTCTGTAACTTACTGGAATTCATCTCATTCATCAACATTCATATGTGTTAAAACAAAATGATCACCTCTAAACTATCAAATAAATGCCTAACAAAACATACCAATAGTGACGTGCCCAATTAGCGATTCTAGTATGAAGGTCAGTGAATAAACGCTTACCTCCAAAGGTGAGCTGCAAAGGAATCTTGTGAACTGCAGAGCCACATTTGAACCGAATCCGTTTCATCCAATAAATGGGCAGCAAAAGACAACAAAAAAGGAAAAATTATTATTACATGTTTTTTCAATAACAGCATCTAAAGTAAACCTTAAAGTCTCTAAAATTAATGGTTTTAATACATTGTGTAACTCATCCACAGGTAGAAAAAAGTTCAATCTACCCATAGCTGGTATTGAGCTACCTGAATTAAAGTAAACATTTTTAAAAACCTGTACAGAAACCAAATTAAAGCACAACAAATGAGTCCTAAAAGCTTTCATTTTTTAAAGTTTCATCTTACAACCCTTCCAAGGGAGGGATGAGCAACCTTCCTGATGATGAATGCCACTGGCAAAATTAAGTCAAGGCTGAGAGAAGGAAAAGACAGACACTAAAGGGGAACCAAGAAAAAAACTAACAAGTCAAGACCAGGAGAGGAGGCTGGGTGAGCAAGAGGGAAAGAAGGGGAGTCACCCCCACCCGGGGGCCTGGCTGCCGTGATACCCCCTCCTGTCTTCCCTTCTCTTGTGCAGCCCACGTGCACCATTGGTCTCTCTGCTGTCGCTTTCTTTGACACAGGGAGGCTTACGGAACTTCAGCTCAAATGTGAAACGTGCTAAGCATTATACACTTGCTGGTTCTCAGCATTTAAAGAAAGAAACAAAAATCTTGGAGGGGCAGCGGGGAGCCACGGACAGACCACAAAGCAAGCTGCTGGTCAGCTCAGAAATGAGGACTGTCACACAACTTCATACATATTCATGATGGTAATTCATAATGTTTTTTAGATATTATTTATAAAATCAACATTTCAAATCCTCTGAGAGTTACTTGAGAGTTACTGTAATAATAAAATGCCCAAGTAGTATAAACTCTTGATCTTTCTAAATGCAAAATAACCACAATAAAATGCAATAGCAGGCCCGTTTCCAAGCACTCTTGAACTTCCTCTCCACAACAAAGCTAGCTAGTACTCATAGGGAATACAGATAATTTGATTCTCCTTTAGAGATACACACTGAAATATTTCTCAATGAAATTACATGATGTCTGGGATTTCCTTCAAAATCACTGGGGGTCGGAGGAAACTACTGTAGGGAAGCGTACAGATAAAACAAGACTGGCCGTTATATTAAACCGGTAAGGACCGGAAATGAATATATGCAGATTCCTTATACGACTCCTACTTTGTGAATATTTCCATTTTTTTATAATAAAGTTTAAAAAAGTACTATCAGACGCTTCCTCCCCGCAAAACTAAAGCAACTACATTTGTAAAATGCGACCAACACACACACCAAAGCCATGTAATTAACTAGTATCATCCAGGCCCTAGGTGACAGGGTGTAGTTAAGTATTTTCTTAATTTAAATACCAATATGCAATTAGATATTAACTGTTAAGAGAACTTTCTACTGAGGGTTGATGGGGGGTGGGAGGGAGGGGTGGGTGGGTGATGGGTATTGATTGAGGAGGGCACCTTTGGGGATGAGCACTAGGTGTTGTATGGAAACCAATTTGACAATAAACTTCATATATTGAAAAAAAATAAAAAAATAAAAAAATTAAAATTAAAATTAAAAAAAAAAGAGAACTTTCTGAAAGTGCAAGATATAGCACAACTTTATTTTTTCTGAGTAAGCTCTATGCCCAATGTGGGGTCTGAACTCATGACCCCGAGATCAAAGTCACAAACTCTACCACTGAGCCACCCAGGTGCCCCTAAGATATACCAAAATTCTAAGTTTTCATAATGCTGGTAGGAAACAAATTAATTCTTTTGAAATGTGAAGTGCAACCTTGTGGTCTCAGATTCTTTTCACAGTCGCCCAACAAGAGACAAGCCCTCCTACCCTTCCTCCTAGGAGTAAAAAGTGTAACTGAAAGGCCAGCTAGTTGCAACAGTGGAGAAAAATGAGGTTCGGCGAATGTGTATTTCAGAATGAGAAATGTGCTATTTCACAGTGTCTGTGCTTTTTCTCCACCATGTGCGTGCTAACTACAGTTACACATTAAACTTTAGAACTTAGGAGTAGTTCTGTTTCGGAAGCAAGTGATGTATCAGTTGGGATGGAGGTTACTTTAAATAATAAACAGAAGCATATAAATTACTCTCCAAGAAAACTAAGGTCTCCTTGCCATTCCAATAACTTACATACATCTTTGTCACAGGTGTATATAATATTCCTGTCACAGCTTTTTCAAAACAGACCTAAAATTTCTCACCCTGTTGGAAGCTGCCAAAACATGAAGTACTAATAAGTAAAAGTTCTGAATTCCCAAAGCAGTAAAAACAGAATAAGAAATCACAAGGTGCACACTCTCCTATTCAAAGGACATGAGAAAGGTCCAAAAATGCTGCTTCTTGATTCGTGCCCCGGAAAACCCACTGCCAGAGCCCTTCATTTAATTAGTAAATTCTTTCATTGTGAAATTACACATGACATTCAAGACAAATGGTAATACTCTGAAAAGGAACTATAAAAAGAGCAAATATAACTGCAAAATCTGTTTCGTACACACACTGTACCTGACAACAGAAGTAGACACATGTTATCTAGAAACAGAGGCCTTCTAACAAATCCCATCACAGTGTCTGATCAGTATGAAAATGGCTCGGTGCTACTGTCACAACAACAACAAAGATTACGGCCACCGTCAACAATCCACATTAACACCACTTTTCTAACACGGTTATACTAATGGGGCTATTTTAAAAATATTATGTTATGGGCACAGTTAGCTAGTAAGTTTAAGGAAAGATCCTATTTTAGATATTTAGGCAAAATGTTGAGAAAATAAAGAATTTACTATGTTTATAAAATATCTGACTTTACAGACAGGAACGTACTTCATCATTCTAGAAACAACTGGAGGTAAATATAGCCATAGTCTTTGTCTTCCTACGTGTCTATTTTAAAGACCACTTCTAAGAAATGTTGATTTAATATAGCTGGAAACAGAACAATCAGCCTGATATTTGGCTTTTCAAACGCAGACAGGTAAGATTTCCCATAACAACATTAATAACATTATTACTTGGGACTCACTTGCTAAAATGCACAAAAATTTTAATCGTCAGTGATTCTGTCTACTCTCGCATTTTTTTTTTAAATAAGGATTATGTTCTGTATTTAGCATCCATGCATAAAAAGCCTCAGTACTATTTCAAAAATCTCTCAGGCCTCTAAAAAAGGGAAAAGGATAGACCCAGGACAGTTCTCATGTTCCACAGCTACTTACTGACCTTGCTTCTCTTCCAAGTGTTCTCACCACTTCCAGCCACATCGGTAGCTATGTGGTAACACATCATTCCTTCCAGAGAAGCACTTAATGCTTACCAAAATTTTCTCAACAGTTTTCCAAGCACACAAAATTGTAGTTTAACTTCCTGTCAGTTATGATTAGCAAGTTCTTTCTTTTCCCAAGCCTTGCTGTTAACCCTGCCAGTTATGCTGGTGGACAGGGTGGGGGCAGCAGGGTAGGAAACAAAGGGAGCAAAGAACGTCCACTACCGGTTTTGTCAAAATATTCCTGTACAACGATAATCATCTATTGATCTTCGTAACATAAAACATTCAACATGTAAGAATTTAAGCTACTATGTTCCTCAAATGCCTTTCCTGTTTCATCAGGAACCATGTTAAATTCCTATATTTTAACAAAAAAGGAACACTAAACAGCAATTTTTACAAGATAAGCCAGTTTTTTTCCTAAACTGAAGAGCATCAGTGAGTTATACCTATTTGTCAAAGTAGAATTGCTTTGCTTATAACTACTTGCTTATAACTACTCATGTAGAGTACTCATACAAAGTACTACTCTGTCTCTCTCTCTCTCTCTCTCTCTCTCCTTCAAAAATAAATAAACATTAAAAAAAACTTAAAAAAAAAAAAGGTCCAACTCTTGATTTGGGTTCAGGCCCTGATCTCAAGGTCACAGGGTCGAGTCCCAGGTCGGTCTCCTTGCTGACAGCTTGCAGCCTGCTTGGGATTCTCTCTCTCCTGCTCCCTGCCCCTCCCCGACTTGTGCTCACTTTCTCTCTCTCAAAATAAACTTAAAAAAAAAAAAAGAAAAAATACATTCACAAGTAACATAAATGAGGAGGACATCCCATGCTCTGTTCCCCAGCCTCACCAGTGTCCCTGACCCCGTGTGAGCATGTCCCGCCTCTCCTGTGGACTGAAACACACCGCCTGACAAAATACACAGGTGCATGCTCTTTATCCAGGCATCTGCCAAGGAGCCCCTCTCCTCAGAGCCTCTTCCCCATCGCCTCAGGTAACTGTCACCATCACCAACTCTATCCCTCCCCTCTTCTTCATTAACTGTCAGCACATATCACCCTGACACTATACTTTTTATCTTTCTCACTAGCGTATAATCTGAGGGTAAGAAATTTTCTGTCTTGTTCACTATGTTGCATCCCTAGAGTCTAAAATAATGCCTGGCACAAAGTAGGAACTCAATATTTGCTGCTTAAATGACTACATGCATTCATTCATTCATGACTTAATTCATAAACGAATAAACGAATATTCACATTCTTTCCTTTCTCCCCTATGTTTCTTCATGGCCTCTGGCTGCTTTGTAGAATTGGATCACATCTGGTCAAGGTGAGATGCCACAACCAGAGAGAAGCAGTCACCAGTAACCAAGAACTGCTATCACTGAAGAAACCACCTGTGCCCTTGTCATTTGATCTTCTCAGGAGGGCCAGTGTCCTCCAGGAACACCTTTAATTTCCTGCAGGGAAACTTCCAGTAAGATTTTTTCTTTTTTTAAGTTTATTTTTAGAGAGACAGAGTGCAAGCAGGGGAGGGGCAGAGGGAGAGAGAGAATCCCAAGCAGTCTCCCTGCCCAGCACAGAGCCCAACATGGGGCTCAATCCCATGACCCTGGGATCATGACCTGACCCAAAATCAAGAGCTGGACGCTTAACCGACTGAGCCCCTCCAGTAAGTATCTTTGAGGAACAACCACTCAAGAGACT